TACACAACACTTCCCAGAGACGAGCCTATGAGCTCAATTTCATCAACCTGCTGGATACTAGAGATCATGGACTAAACATAGACATTGGATTTTTGATACATTATAATCTGCCTGGCAACTGACTCCCCAGCCCAGCCCAGCCCCTGGCTTGTTTACTTTTCATTCCATCCAGGAAGAGCGCACACCAACTGCTGAAGCTTCCTTAGCCTGATGAAGGGTTTTTGAACCCAAAAGCTTGCTTTAATAACTATTCTCCAACTATTTGGTTTGGTCTAATAAAAGATATCAAATTCACCCAAGGAGCCTTGTCTGCCTATGTCCTTAGACCAACATAGCTACAACCTAAACCCCTGCAATATATCTGTTAGACACCCGACTCCATGCGGCGCCAAATGACTGGGAAGACGACGGTCCAATTGCTCATGGATCTTGATACTCATTAGCCAGAGCAGACAGGGAGCAAACACCAGCACACATTGCTTGCAACAGCTTTATTCAGAATGGAGGCAGCTTCAGGCAAAGGTCCCAAAAAACAACAAACTGGGGACATTCCCTGAACAACAGTTCTTTCCAACATTTATACACCTTGGTTCAAACATATTAACAGTTATTCTCCCCCCATCACTCCTTTGGTTCCACCCATTTCTCCTCCTATCTGAAGCTCCACCTCTGTTTACTGTTTGCTTCCTTATGTATTGCCTATGCATTTTATTCATCTACATGCCTCTCTGCTAAGAGCACATGCATAAGACTTTGACCCCTATCTTCTTTTGGTCACTTGCAGTTTCTCGCTGGTTCTTGCTGACTTCCCCATCTCCAAGGCTGTATTTCTACTTTTGTCTCCTGACACGAGTTGGTGGGCTCTTCTATTTTTACTTAACACATCATGCACTTTACGCCCTACCCACCATGTTAAGAATCCACTTACTTAAGCATTAGCGAAGTGAGTTGCTTTTAATATATCATTCAACCTTGTGACCAGCAGCTTTTGCTGAGGTTACCTTTTAATACATCAACCAGCCTTGTGACCAGCAGCTTTTGCTGAGACACAGGAACAAGCCTTTATTCAGCTGCACACCCAGCACCCCCAGATCCCATTACCCCAACCTCCAAAATCCATATCATTACCCTAACAATATCCAGTAAGATTTCATAGACATTAGGGCTGGAAGGGACCTTGGAACATCAACAAGTCCAGCCCCCTGCTGCAGAGGCAGGAAGTCAGAAGGGGTCATAGGATCCCAGCAAGATAAACATCCAAATTCCTCTTGAAGATATTCAAAGTAGGTACTTGAACCACCTCCAGCGGCAGTCTATTCTAGGCGTTGGGGGCTCGGACAGTAAAGAAGTTCTTCCTTATGTCCAGCCTGAAACAGTCACGGAGGAGTTTGTGACCGTTTGACCTTGTCATCCCCTGGGGCGCTCTGGTGAACAGGCATTCCCCCAGATCCTGGTGAGCACCCCTAATAAACTTACAGGCAGCCACCAGATCACCTGCATTTTTCCAGGCTGAAGAGTCCCATAGCTCTCAGCCTCTCATCATAAGGTCTGTTTTCCTGACCTCTGATCATGCGCGTGGCTCTCCTCTGGACTCTCTCAAGCTTCTCCACATCATTTTTGAATTGTGGAGCCCAAAACTGGATGCAGTACTACAGCTGCGGCCTCACCAAGGCTGAGTACAGTGGGAGAATGACGTCCTGGGATTTGCTTGAGAAGCATCTATGGATGCAAGCCAGCATTTTGCTCACTTTACTACCTGCAGCATCACATTGAAGGCTCATGTTCATTTTGTGGTCAATCATGACCCCCAAGTCCTTTTCGTCTGTAGTGCTAGCCAGCATAACACTGCCGAGCCTATAAGCCTGCTGCGGGTTTTTCTTCCCAAGGTGGAGAAGGCTGCATTTTTTGGTGTTAAACACCATCAGATTCTCATCTGCCTATTTCCTGAGCCTGTCAAGGTCAGCCTGGGTCACCCTCCTATCCTCAGGTGTGGACGCTTTACCCCAGAGTTTGGTGTTGTCGGTGAACTTGGCCAGTCCACTTCTGATACAAATGTCCGCATCATTAATGAAGATGTTGAACAGTGTTGGCCCAAGGACAGAGCCTTGAGGGACTCCACTGGTCACAGCACACAACGACGATTGACTTCCATTAACCACCACCCTCTGGGAGCCAGTTCTCCAGCCAGCGGATCGTGGTGAAGCCGAGGCCACAGTTGGCCAGTTTTGCTAAGAGCTGATCATGGGATACCAGATCAAAGGGTTGTTTAAAGTCAAGATATGGGACATCAATCTCTTCTCCCTTGTCCAGATGATAGGTCACCTGGTCGTAAAAGGAAATAAGATTGGTCAAGGAAGACCTACCCACAACAAACCCGTGCTGGCTATCCCTCAAGATGCTGCCATTGGCCAGTCTGTTAAGAATGGTCTCTTTGATAATCTATTCTAAGACCTTCTCCAGGATAGAGGTCAGGCTGATGGGCCTGTAATTTGCCAGATCCACTTTCCTCCCTTTCTTGAAGATAGGTACCACATTGGCCTTCTTCCAATCTTTGGGCACTTCACCAGAGTGCCAGGAGTTCTCAAAGATCCGTGCCAGGGGCTGAGCTATGATGCTTGCCAGCAACTTGAGTACCCTCGGGTGTAAACTGTCAGGGCCAGCTGACTTGAAGGTGTCCAGCCTCTCAAGGTGTTCCTTCACAAGGTCAGCATTGATGGAGGATAAGGAATCACCCTCACCCAGGTATTCCCGTCCTGTAATGGGACTGGTGAAAAACCAATGCAAAGTACCCATTTAGCAAGTTGGCTTTTTCCTGGGCATCGGTTGTCAGTTGTCCCATCTGGTTTAGCAGGGGTCCAATATTGCCCTTGCTTTTCCTCCAGCTCCCCACATATCTAAAAAAGGACTTTTAATTGTCCTTGATACTTGTAGCTAGTTGGAGTTCAGTTGCAGCCTTGGCTTTCCTGGTTTGCTCCCTGCAGGTCTAGACCAGTGCAGAATATTCCTCCTTGGAGGTGGATCCAGTCCTTCATCCTTTGTAGGTCTTTCTTTTTAGATGCAGGAGGTCTGCTAGTTCCCTGTAGAGCCAAGGGGGCTGCCTGTTCCCTTTTTGCTGCCTTTCCTCTGATATCCAACAGGAATCCACAAATGTATACACACAATACACAACCTTCCAGTGGAAATTACAGCATTACTTGAAACTTTAAAGTCATGCACCATACAGCATTTAACCCCCCACCCCACCCCACCCCAACAATTCTAAAGATGCTAAAATCCTAAATAAAAAGAATTCTAAAAATGCAGACTTGGTTCATTCAGTGGACATAGTGGAAGAGAAAAGCAGGTGCATATATTGTAGGACAAATATGGTCCCATAGGGGTGAACTGAGGTAGTATGCCTAGTCTGCAGTATAAGCTACACTATATAGCTACATCTTTCCACAGAAAGCTCTGAGGTGGAACGATATCTCAGAAAGACATCATCATTCCTTCCCCACATTCCCTTTGCTCTGCTTAGGAGGAAGTTAGTTTACCCCTTCTCAGGATGCCTTATCTTCCAGACTAGGTGCCTTCCCATGTAACCTCGCAAGTGGAGTGGGTAGCGGAAAGTCTCCTCCTATTCCTTCTTACCCACTGATTTGAGAGGGGGAGTGCTGGGAAACAGCTCCTTGCTCTTCCACTCTCCTCCCATTTGGGGCCAGAGACACAGTATGAGTAGCCCTAACTCAGCCAACCAAGAGAGTGAGGAGAGGTGGCTTTAGTTTGCCTTACTCCCCCATATGGCTAAACAAAGACCAGAGTCTGTCTATTCTTCCAGATGATTGTGAATTTTTCTAAAAGGGGAGTAAAATGATGCCTTCCCTGCCTACTTGGTCCTCTGACACATTAACATCATCCCTTCCAGTTAGCAATGCTTGTTGTACCCCTTTGAGGTGAAAGTCAATAGCTTACGTTTATTTGCTGAGAGTTGAGATTTATATTGGCCTCGAACCAACCGGCAGGTGGACCCATCACCATTGCAGACCCCACAGTTATCTTCCTTGACAGTGCTTCCCAACTGGTGATCACAGCCAACAATCTGACAAGAAAGAAAGAAGTGCAGTTTAGCTTGAGCACCTACTGACTGCTGGATCCATCTCTGCAACTAATTACTGCCAAATTTCTCTCACATTATCTCCAGGGGGCCATAATGTATGTTAGCAATGAAAGAGCCTAAACAAATCTGGCTGGGAGTATGAACTCAAACTCATGAGCTATAGAGCAAGCAAGCGTCTACTAAATGGCTTTTGCAGTTCATATGGAGAGGAAAGCATATTTGGTTTTGTAAATGCTTCCTGGTAAGAGACTTATCAGAGTCACATTTTAAAATTTTCAGAGAGAAATTTACATAGTAGAGTTAGAGAGATGCACACATACAATAAAGAGCAGTACAGATAACTAAGAAACTCTCTGGGATTCCAGTAAAGTCTTACTTCCTATGCATTTGGGGAAAAAAACACATGTGGCTTTAATGATATTTGACAATAATCCCATTTCACACAATCAAAGGCTGTGTTTAAATATTATTAAGGTTCTGATAATGGAGGTGAAACTCTGGTTTAAGGAAAGGCCAAGGGGTTAGGCATTCTACTCCCAATTCTGCATGTGTTTGGGCAAATCATTTGGATCAAAATTTTTTAAACCTGAGTAAATAAAGTAGGCACCTAAATCCATACCGAAACTCTTAAGAAATGTACATAGTTATTTAAACCAGTTGTGAAATTGACCTTTTCATCCGGACTGATCCATGGCCTCAAATTATGGATTTGACTGATGGAAATCCAAGAAATTGAACACACCATTTTGAACACATCCATTCCAAATTATATATTTCACATGCTAAATAAAAGCTAAAAGGCTTTCTAGCATGCTGACTTGCAAAGCAAGTAGTGGAAAAGGTTTGTTATAAAAATCCTAATATAGTATTCTGACAGGGACTGTAGGCCAAATATATAAGACACATAAACAGGGTGAATTATGAATAAAGTGTTAACTTTTTAACTCAGAATTTTCATGCTTCTGTGAGCGTAAGTTAAACAGTGAAGTGCCAAATTCTAGGTGGTGATTATAACAGGTGCGGCTGTAAACACACGTAAGTATCAGCTGGCCTCATAAAAAAACCTACATGTGCAAAATGGACAACTGTTTGTGTAAATAGGTTGAGCCATGTGTTCCTGACTGACTTATACATATCCTTGTTTGTCGGCACAACTGCTAAGTTATGCTGGTGCAAGATCGTGACCATATTTTTGTAGTCTCTCCCTTTATAGCCTCATTATCCTAAGGATGATTTAATATTAACTATTTGGCAGTTTAATTTTTTCTTTTTACTGAAGAATTCTTCAGCAGTAATAAAATATTACGTTCATATAATAAAACCTTCAAGGGATAACATTTTTCATAACTTTTCATTTTGTAGGTTAAAAACAATAGGATAAATTCAGTTGCGATTGAAGCAGATAAAGTGTCTTTCACTTTATCCACTTTGATCATGTCTGAATTAAGCCTGATCTAATGTATTTGTGTATTAGCCGTACTGACCTGTTATAATTTCATGAAAGCCATAGACTTAATGTGTACGTGGTTCAAAATGTTTAGTATGTACAAAAACTGACAAGAAAAAAGAGACAATTTAGCCTAGAAAATCATGTCAGATGAAGGCTAAACTCAAGAGGTTAACAGTTAGGACTCACTTGGTTTCAACTACCCATTTAAAGCATCTGAACACAGATTATGAATCCTGTGAATGGAGCTATATTAGATATAATGCTCCTTAAATCCTAAATGAGAACATCCCTGTGGAGATTTAATACACTTCAGCGCATGCACATTGATGTCACATCTTAAGTTGATTTACCTTAATTTCCCTGAGTATTCTGAGGTAAGTCAGTCCTATATAGAGAACTTGCATGTCACGAAACAATACAGACACAATATCAGTGATTCAGATTACTTTATTTAGACCTGAATTACAGCCAACATATACATGCCAGGCAAAAGAATCCCATTATCAAAAGAACTACTGACATTTCCCCTTCATATATCCTAAGACTCCTATTCCAGAATGAAATCCAAATCAAAATGTGCCTAATGACACCTCAGATTGGAAAGCACATGTGAATTCCATGGGGATGAAAGGTGCCTCACATAAAATTGAAGTGTGATCCATCCCATTTCAACACCATTTTTTACCAGCATGAGCCTTCATAACTTTTCTCATTGCATCTTATTTATAAATTGAGTGATGTCAGGCCAGGTTACTACTTGTACAGGAGATAGCCATGCAAAAGCCTAGGTATTTTAGATTACAAGTTTACAAGTTGGGTCTTTACTTGTATATGGAAGTAATAATAAAAATAATACAGTGAAACCTGTCTAAGACAGCAACAACAGAACCAGGAAAAAATTGGCTTTAACTGTTTTCCATTTTCTAGAAGAAGTTTCATAGCCTCTCTGCTCAGTGGTCTCAGCTGTTTAGCCCCTCTGCTCTGCTTGGTGCCCATGCAGACACACACACAGGGCAACTGCTTTCCGTGATTAGAGAGTGATTCTACAAATTGGCCTTCACCACCCAGTTTCCACATTAGTTTCCAGCTTATACAGATTAAATATACATAATTCCCCATAAGGCAGGCCATAAGTGTAGACATTTTTCTAGCCTGAGCAGATTTACAACTTTTATAGGTTCCATCTGAGACAGATTTCACTGTACTGCGTTCCTGAGAAACAAGGGAGGATGAAACAGTTCCTCTCTGAGGATAATCACTCTCCCTCCACTAAGAGGGAGGGTCTACATCTGACAGAGTTTGAGTGATGGCCTGCCATTTCTGCAACATTATTTTCATCTCCCTAAGTTGTTCTGTGAGAATTGGGATCAGAAAGAAGATGGATATTGCTCCTGCATGTGGCACAGTACTTGCAGGGAACTGACTGGGAATGCAGTGCTTACTTAGCGTTATCTCTTTTATTATTCAGCTCCATGATGCGAACCACTCACAGAGAAGAGGTCTGGTGCAGCGGCCATAAGCAAAGCCCACAGGTATGCTACTTCCATAGAAACAGTCCTGTTATGGCTGAGGGACAGGGCTTTTGTGGAGATAGACCTGCAAAGAATTTCCCACCAAATACATGTCAAGGGAGATATAGTTCAGAGACCAAGAAGTTTGTGTCTTGGGCGGCCAGAGCCGACCAGAGGATCGCTAATTTAATCGGACGTCAGGCGGGCCGGCGATGGAGAGGCGAGACAGCTTATTGGTTTTAAAAGATTGCTTTTACTTACGCCGCGTGGAATGGCAGTGCAGGCCTCGAGGTAGCTTGCTTGCATTGTCACGGATAGCAAAACGAGTTAACGAATTTATGAACGAAAAGGAACCTGCAGGAAATGGGGGGGGTACGTCAAGGACCCGGTGACAGGGAGATATTGGTGGGTGATCGGTCCGCCAAGTTTCCTCGATCGCACTACAGAGTTCTCCGTAGTTACTCTGCCGCGTGCTCAGAGGTCTCCGACTTGGGCGGAAGTTGCATGAACTTTTATATGTCTGGAGTGGCCAATAACGGACTGCTAGGTAGGAATAACTAATGAGGCGGAACGTGACCAAATTTGAAAGTAACTGCGGTTATTCAGGGCAGTTCTATTGTGACAGGGGCACTCAACTCATTTGGTTATGACATGCCCCCTTGACCATGTCACAATAGACAAGGGAATTAGGTTACAGGCAATTTTCGTCCAAGAACTCATTACTGTTACAAGGTTTAGCATAACACGCAGATATACGTATATATGCAAAAGTGGACAGTTTAACAAGTTACTTTTTTAACAAACTATAAAATACAACGATTTATATACACAACAATGATTATCACGATTAACGGTAAACACAAGGTAACTAAAGACATTGACAAGTGAATTAACCAAATTTTGGTGTCATCAACCTGTTTAAATTCGCTGATGACACCAAAATTTGGGGGGAGGTGAGCACGCTAGCAGGGAGAGAGAGATTGCAGAAGGATCTGGATAGGTTACAGGGGTGGGCAAACAGGAACAGGATGTGTTTCAATACGGACAAGTGCAGGGTGCTGCACTTGGGTAGTAGGAACCAGCAGCACACTTATACGATGGGGAACTCCCTACTTGAGAGCACGGAGGCGGAAAGGGATCTTGGTGTCATTATTGACTCCAAGATGAACATGGGCCGACAATGCGAGGTCATGGTTGGCAGGGCTAACAGGACCTTGTCGTGAACATTCCTCCATCACAGTCTTGATATTGGGTTACAGGCTGACCATGGGCTGCCCTATGCACTGCTGCCATCTGATACCAGGAAGGCTAACGGAACCTGCAGAGCAGATTA